GTTATTTCGATCATTTTCGATTGGTGTAAAAATTTTGGTTAGGGTTTTTTTTTCTGACATAGTTGGAGATTTCGTTTGATTTGTTTTAGGGTTTTGTATGTTGTAAAGTTTCTAGGGAATTCGTTTGATTTGTTTCTAGGGATTTCAATTGGTGTAAAATTTATGGCTAGAGTTGTTTGATCGTTTTGTTTGATTTTTTTTTCGAGCTCGATCCCCCATAATCCTTGCATAGCTCGAGTTCAAGCTTGACTCAACATCGTAAATTCGGTTGAGCTCGAGCTTAGCTCAACTCGGCTCGATTCACCCCTAAATTTGTTTTCTCAATTCTCAATCAGCTTGTGTCATGCGAATAATATACTACGAAAGTTGAATAGGAATTAATAGTTGAATTTGGCAACACTTTACAGAGATGTGTGGCAGCTGATATATGCTGGGTCATAATTTATGCACAAACCATGTTGTCTTTCTTTAGCTAGTTTAGTAGTTATTTATCAAAAAGTATTCCTGAAGTATATATTGTACATCTCCTAGAGTCTTTGATAATCTTGAAAGAAACTACGAAATTTTTTTATTTATCATCTATAAAAAATTTCAAGCAGAAGGGAAATGGACTTGCCGCTTGCGTGAAATTGGCCTATCAACTGACGTTTAATGTAATTTCAACACGTCTATCTCAATTCTCAAACATGATTTCTGGAAGCCAACCATAATCAGTCATCAAAATCCTAATAAGATTTATCTTGAAAGAAACTACGAAATCTTTTTATATTATCTGGCTATTCGCTTCTATTAAAAAATTCTAGCACAGGGAAATGGACTTGCCGCTTGCTTGAAATTGGCCTATCAACTAGTGTAATGTAATTCACCACGGTGCTTAATTCTCAAACGTGATTTCTGGAAGCCAACCATAATCAGATATCAAAATCTGATTCGTTTTGTCTCCTTCAAGAATTGGCAATGAGATGTTGTAGGTCCTGTTTGTCTTTTAACATTCATGGTCAACATAAACTTGAAGTTATGAGGTTGACAAATGGGTGGATACGGGTAGGTTAAAACCCAAACCAATCCAAACTTAATACAAAAAACATGATTCGTGAGTGATTGTGAACCATCACTCTGAACGATGATCTTTTTCATTTAAAAAATGTTAATGTAACGTGTACAACTGTGAAAAAAGTCTCCCAATGTATAACCCCACATCCATAGAGTAGCAGATCTTCGATTATTGAGTCATTTCCTTTGAGATAAGTAATATATATATGTGTAGATTTACGGACTTAAAGTCTGAAATGTGAATCAAAAGCAATGAAATTGTTCGACTTAGGTTGAATGGCAAGTTTTCTCGAATCGGACTAATGAAATTACGAAATTACGATGTTAAAATTTTAGGTGAAATGAGTTTAAAAGAGTTAGTCATCACTGAAGGCTAATGATAAAAAGGCAAAAGAAGGTTTCATGAGTTCCTTAATTTAAGTCCCACAGACGTTGCGTCTTAATAGGAAAGGTCATGAGAGACTTACCTGGTCGTCAGGACATGGTAAATTAGTTTAGGTACGCACAAACTGACCCGGATCCTCGGTCGCCAAAAAAAAAAAAAAAAAAGAGTATAAAGGAAGTACAAGCATCATCGGCAATTAAAAATGATTAATTAAGAAAATGTGTAATTAAGTAACACAGAATTATTTTTCTTTTTTAAGACAAAGAAAAAACAACATAGTTAGGCTTACCTTTAAAAATAATTTGATAACTAGCTACACTTGTTATAAAGAAAAATGAAACTAACTGCAAGATAAATATAAATACAAAAAATAATCATGCAACAAGAGAAAAAAAAAAAAAAAGGGAATAGCCTAAGGAAAGAATAACATATAAAATCATCAAATGTTTAGAAATAAGATAATAAAGCTTCATCACACATTCATCCTTATAGTCCATTTGAACTTATTGCATCTGTTGTGATGTGGCACTTGATACTCACACGTGGAAGTCATTTATTATTGGATGGTCAATGTAAATTGTCAAGTCTGAAATCAGAATCAAAAGCAATGAAATTGTTAACTTAGGTTGAATGGCAAGTTTTCTCGAATGGACTAATGAACGATGTTAAAATTTAAGGTGAAATGAGTTTAAAAGAAGTTAGTCATTACTGGTGGTCTGATGGTAAAAAGTAAAAGAAGGGTTCATGAGCTTCTTAATTTAGTCTCCCACGACGTCACGTCTTAATAGGAATGGTCATTGAGGGACTTACCTGGTCATAGGTATGGTAAATTAGTTAGGTACGCACAAACTGACCGAAATCTTCGGTCGCCAAAAAAAAAAAAAAAAAAAAAGAGTTTAAGAAGTACAAGCATCATCGGCAATTTAAAATGATAATTAAGAAAATGTGTAATTAAGTAACAAGTAATCATTTTTCTTTTTTAAGACAAAGAAAAAAATATAGTTAGGCTTACCTTTAAAAATTAATTTGATAACTAGCTACAACTTGTTATAAGAAAAATGAAACATAACTGCAGATAAAATATAAATACAAAAAATAAATCATGCAACAAGAGAATAAAAAAAAAAGGAATAGCCTAGGAAAGAATAACATATAACATCATCAAATGTTTAGAAATAAGATAAAAGCTTCATCACACATTCATCCTTATAGTCCATTTGAACTTATTGCATCCATGAAAAACTGCAGAAACTTATTCGTAAATGGAATATGTAATTAACTAGATTCCGGACTCAATCTAGACTAGTAATGACAGCTTCCATGAGGTCTGCATCTCTTGCCATACCCGTAATGTTTCAGTCGAAAGGCAAGCTTCAATGGCTACACTGCCTTCTCTTCTCCAGTAAACAATGTTATCTCCCATCAGACTTGTTTCCTGGTCCGCTTCTTACTGCAATTGGTCTTCCCCACCCAAATCATTGCCGTAAATGTTGAACCTTGGCGAACTACTAGGACCAAAGCATTAGTTACCATGCTGTCCATTGTTATTAGCTTTGGCTGTCTGTCCATGACTTAAGAAGTTCATTAACTTCTCTTCTGTGTGCTAGCAAACATCGTTCATTTGCAATGCCACATAGCCAAGTCCTTTCTCTACACCTCTCTGCTTTCATTTACGGTCCCAGATTGAACTGCATTTCAAAATACTCTGGCTGCAATTCTGCTTGCAATCTTTGTCTAGCACCGATCAAGATGCGATAATTAATTCTTCTGGGATCAAAATGTTTGTTGCGGATGCAGATCGCCAAAAGTGAGATAAGAGAGCTTGAAGAGAGGAGATTGTTGGTGCCAGTTTCGGCATTGGCTTTTGCTTTGAGTTTTGCTGTATTTTCCCTTGTAAAGTGGAAAACTATTTGCCGCAGAAGTGGTGGAACAAACCTATTATCAAGTGTTTGTTGGTAAAGAGAGGTATGCGAACAGGACAATCAGTCACGAACAAACCAGCGCTGAAGAAGAGGAGGTTTGGATAAACAATTCAAACCTCGAGAAATTTTGACAAGAAATGAAGAAATGCCAAAAGATGAGCCAACAGCAATGGTTAATGGTGCAACCACTAAAGATCCCACCACAAGCTCAGTAACTTGCACGGCGAGCAATGGCTTGGAGGTAACCTCATGGTGTCCTAACACCATTTAGTGGGAAAAAGGAGTAAACAATTTTAGGAACGTAGATAGGTTCAATGATATTGCAACTGAAACTCCCTCAGCTACGGCATGAATAAACTCGGCTCCAGCATTATTGCAATCTATGAAAAAGGAGACTGTGTTATCGCATGGTCAGCGGTGGCAAGGGACTGCTAGCGGGGGAAAGAAGGCAAGCGTACGTGATGAAGGGAGGTCTTAAGGTGGTGGATTATGGAGTTTAAGGTTGTGTTTTCTAAATCTTCATTGTTTGGAGGTTTTGTTGTGAAAAAGAAGTCCCTTCTGGATGGAATCCACCAGAAGGAGCTGAAGATCCCAAGGAGTTAAATCAATCCTTAGGTTTGGTTTCTTGTGACTGGCTGCACAGACCTGCTGGAGAATAAACGAATGGTCGCCATGCTCTCTCAAAATATGGTTCAAAAGTCCAAGTAGAGAAGAAACAGAGAGGAGGAAAGTGGGGGAATAAATTGATTCTGAGAGGTGAGGTGAGCCACTAGAGAAACAGAGGGGAGAGAAAGTGGGGAATTAATATCACAGTGAGCAAGCTAAAATAAAACTCCAACAAACAAGAAGTCAATATTTTAATTCAAGTAAATAAAAAATTGCACCAAGTAAAAGTTAGAACATTTGATATTCTATATCTCAATTAGATAAGCACTCACTACTACAAGTCACTAAAATGTAGCGAAGAAGCTATTCTAGCTATTAATTAATAATTTAATATCCTTAATTCAATCCCACAAAAAATAAATCTGACTAAGAGGCAAAAACAACAGTATTCAGTCTGTCAATATGACTCTCAAAAATAATGGATTACTGATAAAGACTCATGAATACCCATAAACAGATCATAGTTGTATATCCAATGCTTCAAATTAGTTAACAGACAAACAATAATTATAGTGACTAAAACTATAAGGAGAAAATAATTCATTCATAAGTAAAAGACAAGGCAACAGCTTGTTCACAATGGACTGAAGCCTAAGAGTACTTTTCAACTTTGATATGGTGTAATTTAAACAATTGGCAGAAAATCCTCTATAAGATGTTATTGTTTTTTCAATCTCACTTTTATTTACTTATCTTTGTTGTGGTTGGGAGTTATAAAACCAGAAATTGTGCATAGCATATTCAGGTGAACAATGCGCTCACGGGTTTATGTTGTTCTTAGAAGAAACATAACTTATCTTTGATTGGAATAATTATAAAATGCTCACTGGTTTATTATGTTTTCAGAAAAATAAAATAACTTATGCTGCTGTATAGCTGAAACATTTTATAAACAACAAGATTATATAAAAGAAAAAGGTTTAAAAAAGTCCCATCTAGAACATTTAGGCAAAATACAAAGTATTCTAACAAACCTGTCTAGAAAAATCCATGTAGTATAAGGAGGTAATCTTTTAACCTCAACGAGCTTAATAGGGCGAACAACATTTTTGGAAGGATTAGTAGATCCCTGAATAGCTGTAGAAGCATGACCATCTTCCTGGGAGCTATGGCTATCCCTATCCCCATCACTTGCATCAATACCACTTTGCACCCCAAATGCATCTCTTTGCCTCCTAGTTAGTAGATCTACACTGTTTGTGATGTTACTTATTAGGTGATTTCTTCTTTCCAGTGATAATCTATATATATGGTTCGTGACACCAGCCAACTTTTGCCTATTTTCTTCCACCCTTGTCTGAGCAAAAGAAAGAGCAGAAATCAATTAGACAATGATGAATACAAGATCCAAAAGATTGCTACTTTAAAATCAGCTATAAACGAGCTTGAAAAACTGCACCTTTATTGAAACACAGTGGTCAGCAGCAAGTTGCTTCTTTAAAGAATCAATAACAGACAAAATCTCCTTATGAGATGTAGTTTTGTCTTGAGATTTTGTCATCTGTAAACATCCAACAAACCAAATGTCCCTATAATTCAACAAACACTAGAAAAGAGAATTTAAGAAATTAAAAGTTTTACATTGCCAATAAATAAACTGTTCGAGAGAATTGTCGTAAAAGGCAAAGGAAAATAATATTAAGAGAAAAATGAAAGATCAAATTTCTGCTATGACACACGTACACCTTTTTCACTTTCGTTCTTCTCAAAATTTCCTAATGTTGCATCATCCAAGCCTTATATTAAAGAAATACTTCGGTAACAATTTAAATTAATATCCAAAGCATACACCAATTATCCTGTATTAAACTACAATGACCATAATTTGATCTCTAATACACTCCAAATAAATCCAAAAACCTAAACAATTCACCTTTAATAAAAGGCAGCCATTTTTTTCCTCTATCCAATAATTACCTTACTCAAATAAATTTGCATTTATTAAAACTTTACGGAAACCTAATCCACTAAAAAAAATGCAATCATAATTTAGTCTATAATTCACTCAAAATGAATTCAAAACCTAAACAATCCAGAGTTCACAAAATGCAGTTATATTCTCCCTCTATCTAATAATTACCCTATGAACGCAACATACATTCAATTAAAAATCACATCAAAAATTTTCCAGCGTATCACCAAATATAAAATTCAAATTAGATACCGAAGACTCCTTAAGAGGCTCCGATTTGCTGGCGGAAGCAGAAGGCGAGGCCTTGGAAGCCGAAGGCGAGGCCTTGGAAGCCATTGTAAACTGAACCGAAATCGGCAATGGCGGTTCGGATCAGGATCCGATTCATGCATAGACAATGCCGAATAAGAATGTGTGTATGGTAGGGTTCGCGAGAGGATTTGGCGGGTTTGCTTGAAACCCTAAAGTTAACATCCCTCGCTCTCAAAAAAAAAAAAAAAAAAAAAAAAAAAAAAAAAATTCCTTTTTTTTGGGGTTTAATAAGTAATCTAGTTGAGTAGTTGGTGGTTTTGATGGGCTTTTGTTTTATTTAGTAATTTGGTTTAATTGAACATTGGTTGCGTAACGCGTGGGCGCGGCGTGGAACAAGGTTAAAATTAAAGGATAATAAATTGGGGGGAAAGTGGTTTGAATTATGCACTGTTGCAATTATTCCTCATCCTTGTTTGGAGTTTGGACAAACAACAAAGCAGAGAGAGAGAGCCCATGAAATGTGAGTTGTTTTTTTTGTTTCTCCTTCGTTTTTTTATTAAAGATAACACGCAATGATTATGCATCAATAATAGTCAAAGACTTTAATTTTTTTTTTTTTTTTTATGACCAGGGTATTCAAGTCAACTTACACTCACTCGATTAATCCTCTAAGACTCTGGAACTATCAACCGGATAAAAGCTAGTAACTATCCCTATTAGCTTACGCGCACTTCAACTAACCCTCGAAACCTTGTAACTACTGGTCTAGTATAAGAACTCTAGTGGCTACTTTATTAGTAACCGAAGAGGGACTCGGACTTAAAACTTCTTGAATATATACCCACGAGTTCATATCGAAACTCGCATATCCAAGTAGTTGACTTAAATTGCATTCTATTATTTGCGTACATTAGTTTTTCATTTGGGGTAATCTGCTAAACCTTAATTTTTGTTGACCTTCTCGTTTTCGAAATAATCACAAAACCCCCCATTGTTACTCTCCACTTACATTAATTTAGACTAAGCATGATTACATATACTTAAATCTTAAATTTTACTGATAATTAAAACAAATTTAAAATAAATGAATAATATTTTTGATGTTTTAATAATTAATAAGAACCAATACGTATAGTAATGTTAAAAATGGGATTTCATTACTATTTCTAAAACAAGACAGATGTTTTAAAAATAAAAGGGTTTTGGGATATTACATTACGGTTGACCGTCAACATGGGTTTTTAATTATTTAAGAAATAACATATTTGAATGATAACGTTTTAAATTTTACTGTTGACTTATTTTGCTAATTAAAAAATAAGAGTAATGTTAAATATATAAAACAATTTATAAACTATTCTGATGTGAGAATTTTGCACGTTGGACATATCATTATTAAATTGTTTAAATTATATCTAAATAAAATTTTCTAATCACAGTAAAACACATCATTTATACGAAGAATATACATATAATATTTTCATAAAATAATATGCATTTTGTATGACCGCCAACAAACACGACAACCCATTAGTATTGAGAAAATAAAAACTGACAACCTTAAGGTTTCCAAATTAATCATTTGGATGACAATTTTTGCACTTTTTATAAATGGACCCTTAGGGCATCTCAATCACGCTAAAATGGTGCAAAAAACACCAAATTGGCTGGGTTGGCAATCCAACCCACGCTAAACACTGCGCCATTTTGTGGTGCAGTGTTACAGTGCTGCGCCAATTTGGCGCAGTACTGGTAGCACTGCGCCAAAATGGCGCGGTACTGTAGCAAAAAAAATAAATTTTTTAATTTTGGTTTTTTTGTTTTTTTTTTAATTTTGTTAAGTTAATTTGAGTATTAAATTTTACACCAAAAATCACACCAAATTTGAGTATTGTATTAATTTAATTTGTATTATTATAATAATAAATTATAATAATGATATAATTAAAAATGATGAAAAATTAAAAATAGAACTTTATCAATGCAAATATTAAACTACATAAACTCAAAATAAAAATTAACACTAATTTAAAAACACTAAAATTAAAAGAAAATACAACATAAACTAAATAAACAATTTAGTATTCCGGTAGATTAGTTTCGGATCCAGTAAGATCATCAAAATATTAAAAAAACTTGAATAGACAACACATCTTTTTTTTGTATCATTTTATATTAGATGTAATGTTTTTCTATATTAAATGTAATGTTTATTTGATTAAATAAATGCTTAATTCTATTAAATTAGTATAATTTTCAAAATAATTATTATTTAATAAAAATATCATTCCCAATATTTAATTAATATATACAAAAATAATGAGTGAAATAAATTAATTGTTGATTATTACAATAAAAGAAAAAAAGAATATTCTAGGGAATATTCTTTTTGGTGCAATATTTGGTGTTGTGGGTTGGAGATGGAATAGTGTTTTGCACCAAATTTTGCACCAAATTGGTTTGCACCAAATTGGTGCAATGGGTTGGAGATGGTCTTATAGTTTCAAAATTGTACACTTATACCTTTTTACCCTAACTCTATTATATTGATGTTACCGTATGTAGACGTTCGGAATCCACAATCACGGAAGTTGGGATGTGGCGACCTACGAAACAAGAGAAAAGAGACGGACATAGATCCTTGACACCAGGATGGTGCTGGCTGGGGGGGACTTTGGTGCCCAAGTCAAAAATATGTCCAAAATTTAAATAGCAACAGAAAGTAAATGGTGTTGTGTGTGAAAGCAATTGTGATGGTGTGAGCGTATGAATGTCAATGTTGGTCCTCCGAAGAGGTTCGTCGGTCCTCCAAAGAGGTAGTCCTCTAGCGAGGTTTGTCGGTCATCCGAGTTCGAGCTTTCCAATACTCGACTCAAGCGGTTCGCGAGCTTACTTGAGCTCGACAGGGGATATATGCAAGTTTTTACCATTTTGCATATAAAATATTATTTCAATTCGAGAAAGGGAGAAACCCTAACTTCTTCATCCGCGCCGACTCACTTCTCCTTCTCTTTCCTTCTTTGTCACCTTTCTTCTTTCTTCTCCTTCTCTATTCTTCTACTTCCTTCTCTTTCTCTCCCCCTTTGAGCCGACTTACATACGCTTTCAATTATCTATGCTGAACTCGAAATTTAATGCTAGGAGTTGTTTCGATCATTTTCGATTGGGGTAAAAATTATGGTTAGGGTTTTTTTCTGACGTAGCTGGGGATTTCATTTGATTTGTTTCAGGGTTTTGTATGTTGTAAATGTTTCTAGGGAATTCATTTGATTTGTTTCTAGGGATTTCGATTGGTGTAAAATTTATGGTTAGGAGTTGTTTTGATCTATTTTTATTCGAGCTCGATCCCCCATAATCCCTGTGTAGCTCTAGCTTAAGCTTGAATACAACATCTTAAGCTCGGTTGAGGTCGAGCTCAACTCAACTCGGCTCGATTACACCCCTAAATTTGTTTTCTCAATTCTCAATCAGCTTGTGTCATGCGAATAATATACGTACGAAAGATTGAATAGAGAATTAATAGTTGAATTTGGCAACACTTTACAGAGATGTGTGGCAGCTGATATATGCTGGGTCATAATTTATGCACAAACCATGCTTGTCTTTTCTTTAGCTAGTTTAGTAGTTTATTTTATCAAAAAGTATTCTCCTGAAGTATATATTGTACATCTCCTAGAGTCTTTGATAATCTTGAAAGAAACTACGAAATTTTTTTATATTATCATCTATAAAAAAATTTCAAGCAGAAGGGAAATGGACTTGCCGCTTGCGTGAAATTGGCCTATCAACTCACATTTAATGTAATTTCACTATGTCTATCTCAATTCTAAAACATGATTTCTGGAAGCCAACCATAATCAGTCATCAAAATCCTAATAAGATTTATCTTGAAAGAAACTACGAAATCTTTTTATATTATCTGGCTATTCGCTTCTATTAAAAAAATTCTAGCACAAGGGAAATGGACTTGCCGCTTGCTTGTAATTGGCCTATCAACTCACGTGTAATGTAATTTCACCACGTTTGTCTTAATTCTCAAACGTGATTTCTGGAAGCCAACCATAATCAGATATCAAAATCCTGATTCGATTTTGTCTCCTTCAAGAATTGGCAATGAGATGTTGTAGGTCCTGTTTGTCTTTTAACATTCATGGTCAACATTAAACTTGAAGTTATGAGGTTGACAATTGGGTGGATACGGGTAGGTTAAAACCCAAACCAATCCAAACTTAATACAAAAAACATGATTCGTGAGTGATTGTGAACCATCACTCATGAACTATGATCTTTTTCATTTAAAAAAATATTAATTGTAACGTGTACAACTGTGAAAAAAAGTCTCCCAATGATATAACCCCACATCCATAGATTAGAAGATCTTCAGATTATTGAGTCATTTCCTTTGAGATAAAGTAATATATATATTGTGTAGATTTACGGACTTAAAAGTCTGAAATCTGAATCAAAAGCAATGAAATTGTTCGACTTAGGTTGAATGGCAAGTTTTCTCGAATCGGACTAATGAAATTACGATGTTAAAATTTAAGGTGAAATGAGTTTAAAAGAAATTAGCTACCACTGGATGGTCTGATGGTAAAAAAGCAAAAGAAGGTTTTATGAGCTCCTTAATTCAAGTCCCCACAGACGTTATGTCTTAATAGGAATGGCCATTGAATGATTTACCTGATCGTCAGGACCTGAGAAATTAGTTGAGATACGCACAAACTGACTCGGACCCTCAGGTCACCAAAAAAAAAAAAAACAAAACGTTTAAAGTCCATTGAGGGACTTACCTGGTCGTCAGATGAGGTGCTCACAAACTGACTCAGACCCTCAGGTACCAAAATAAAAAAAAAAAAAAGAGTTTAAAGGAAGAGCAAGCATCTTCGGCAATTTAAAATGATAATTAAGAAAATGTGTAATAAGTGACACAGTATTTATTTTTCTTTTTTAAGACATAAAGAAAACAACATAGTTAGGCTTACCTTTAAAATTAAAAATAACTGCATGACAAATATAAATACAAAAAATAAATCATGCCAACAAGAGAAAAAA